AAATACAAGACGGATTTAACAGATTTTGACAGCTAATGAAAAGGCAATTCAGATCAAATATGTTGCAATAAATTTCATCATGCCTGTGTAAATATTGTTTGTGGATAATGTTAGTTATTAGTGGTTATTAGTATGGTCTACAACCTGACTCATGCTCATGTGCTCCAGAACCCTAATCTCCGCCTTCTGTGTCTTCTTAAGATTTTGATATTGTTGGTTAAGTAAAGATTTAATGTTCACATATGTTTGTCAGCAGGGAATTAGTTTTACCTACAGAGTCTACATTGCTGCTCTGATATTTGAAAGTTCCATCAAAGAGAGTCTTTTCTGTTAAGTGTAACTGCATAACTATTTGCTATAAATAGTCAGCTCCTTGATGAAGGAGTTGCTGAATGATTTACAACCTTGAAAACATCATTCAGTGAACACGTACTGTTGTAACAGGCAACAACCTACTGAAACATACTTTCAGCAACTCATAAGTATCTGCGACTGAGGTCAGTTGTATTGGTTGTCAGTCCTGATGACTTTAATCATTTGCATGGGCAAAGTGTAGTGGAGTCTAACAGTGAGTAAATGAGCGGGAAAGGGCTTTGGTGCCTTGCTCAGGGACGCTTTAATAAAACAGTGTTCAAGAGCCTGTTGCGGGATGGTGCTTGTTTCCTCCTTCCTCAATGCAGCTCAACACAATGTGCACAGTGTTATTAAACTGCTGTAACATTTAATCTGAGTGTGAAAAAAAAGGCTTTCTCCACTCCCTCAGCGTCTGTTGAGATGCCCTCAAGCAAGATGCTTAACCCTGAGCAGCTAACATTCACTGCATGTTTGTGTAAGTGCGGGACTGCTCCCAGATGTGTGAATGTGTGTGAATCTTTACGCCTGGGACACACTGCCTGCGTTGTGTGTGCGTGACGGCTACCTTGCTAAACTGCTGCAGCTTGCACGCGTGTTTCCACACCGCCAGTGTATCTGCTGCAGTGCTATTACTGCCAGCCCTATCTCTCTACATTGAGTTTGATTTCTTTTCATTATAAACCTTATTAACCTTACTTACCCTCATTCAGAGTAACACACACAGAGAGAGAGAGAGAGAGAGAGATCCCTTCACCTGTTAAATTATTGACATAATATAATTATAGCCTCGATTAATTTTCTCCTGTGACAATACAGTACATGTGGCCTCCACTGTATCCACATGCAGCTGGTAAATGGTTAAAAAATACAATATTTCTATCTTTTCTATCTTTATTTCTGTCTCTGTCATATTTAGATACAGCCTAGACATTGAAACTATTATGAAAGGTGATGAAATATGACCACCAACAAGTCTTCTCCCTGTTTATTTTTGCTGGGAACGTCTTATGTGAGTAAAGAAGGCGAGAGGCTGAAACCGATATGTTCCGCGACCACCACACACATGTAACGCAGGCAGTATGTCCGGGCTTTATGCTACTGCAGCGGCTGAAAACATAAATGCAGAACGTTCCTGGTCAGGTTTCCTTGCTGACCTCCAGTGGCTGAAGTTCTCACTATTCATGAGTATATGGAACTGTGCTCAGGATGTGGTCAGTACACTTTGAGTTCATTGTTACAAACTGATGATGGAGATGACCATGACGTTTTCATCAGTGTGTCATGCAAACACAGATGAATTAATACAATCCAGATCCAGACTGCAATGTATACACTCTGAAATAACACACGTAACACATGTTAGCAAACTGAGAGACATAACAGTTAAACAGCTATGTACATGTACAACGGAGCACTGAGAAATCAACTGACGTAAAACTATAAACAACCAGACAGGTTCAGTACCTGCTGAGCTTGGAGTTAAGTTACACTTTCTAGTTTATGAGATTGTTTTACTTATTATATATATTTGACATCTTTAGCTACTGTAAGTGTCAAGACTGTGATGTTTCTCGATTCCACCTCCCAGAGATCACCTACAAATCAAATCTAATGAAGCAGTACTGGAGGCACATTCTTCCAGAAAAAGCTCTCAGAAAATTTGTCATCATCTGCATAGAGGTTGATTTAAAGTCAGATTATTATACTGATGGTGTAGCTGCAAAATATATGTGTTTAATTAATATCAATGAAAGCTAAATTCCACAAGCATATTGAAGTTATCCAAAGTAATTAGTAGGGCTTAGGCTACAAAGTACAATGATTTGAAAGTGTGTGTAGCTGCATCAGTAGAGGGTAATATGAAGATAAGAAACATAATTTCCCAACAGGATTCTTGTGCAAAATACAGAGGCATGGGGAAGCTGTTGCTAAAATTTATTCATTGTACTTTTGTTGTCTGTACATTTGAAGCTCATTTGGAACGTTTTGACTTTCGCCATTATGTCAAATTGTGCACAAATTGCTTTCCATTGCCAGGAATCATTATGTATACCGTAGCATGAAGCAGTGTCTCATTGTTCAGATTCAGATGCAGTGCATGTCCATTTTTTTTTTTTTGCGCACACACATACATACTGTCACGCTCTGTATACCTTCCTTACACCCTCTCCTCTGTTTCCTTTTCACTCTCATACATATGCAGGTCTCTTCTTTTTTTTTTTTTTTTTTACTCTTTTCCTCTCCCTTACAAACAAACACTGCATCTGCCCTCCCACTGCGGTTGAATACACTCCTCTATCTAATCCCTCCACCCCTCCCTTCTTCTGCCCCTCAGTTCATCTTCTATCCCTTCGGCACCTGCAAGTCTTTCTCTGCTTCCTTATTCTGCTTGTACTCACCATTTATTCTCTCTGGTCCTACACTTGCCTGTTCCTCTGAGCCCATCCACACGCTGGCATGCTGCGTCTCAGACCTCATTCTGTGTTGGATTGTGGGGAAAAAAAAATACATTTGTTAGAAATAAAAACCACTCTTCGGAACTTTGTGTCTCAGAGGAGATGACCTGGCCTGCATACTAGGCCCATGCTTTTTTTTCCTTTCTGCTGACTTTTTCTGCCAGAAACCTTTGGTGTGTCTAAATTCCATACTATGCTCCATTAGTGCACAGTGCTGCTGGTGTACAGTAAGTGCTAAATTTTGAAGTATATTTTTGTGTGCAGCTTGAATACAAGATATCATTAGGCTTGGAAAGTGGACAACAGCAGCTGAGGAAGATGATAAAAGTAAACTGACACAGTTTGTAGCAGCGTCACCTCAATGTGCAGAGTAGAGTGAGAACAAGGGAAAAATACAGGAAATATGTTTTCTAATTTTTGTATGTATTAGCTTTGAAGGCAGTGCACGTTAAAGCTCACATAATGCTGTACTGTTTTATACTGAAGGACAAGTACAGAAGACATGCACTTATAGGACACAGTGCCATGGTAAAATCCTCAGTTTAATTCTGTTACCCAGGTTTGGGTGCAGCACCCATATTACATATGCCTCCTATCTTAAATGTTAAGTTAAGATAGGAGGAGTGTAAGACAGGATTTTTCCCAGTTTGGTATTACTGAAGCAAATCCTGACTACCTCTTAGGAATCCAATCTTATCTTACTTCGTCCTATCTTATCTCAGGTTTGGAAATCTTAAAAACTCAATCCAACATCGGCCATCAACTTTTAGGAACCAGCAACTTTTCTCATCTTATCTCGCTGAGGTATTTCTGTAACCTGGTGTAGAAACAAAGTAAAGTTTCTGGCCCACCTCACCTACTTCCAAGGTGCATGGAGGAAGGAAAAAGTCCAAAGAGATCAAAACTTCAGCAACACCGACACGTTTCCGCTTCATCAGGGTCATCAAAAAACCCTGATGAAGATGACCTTGATGAAGGCCACAAACTGAAACCTGTCAGTCTTATAAAGTTCTTCTGTTAATTGGAAGTGTTGCTGGAGTTTTTACCTTTTTTGGTATTTCTGTAACCACCTAGATTTCTCATTGAAATGTACAAAAAGTAGCTGCTTGGCTAACTGCAGGATCATGACCTGGGGTAGCCTGTATTTACCAGTGGGTGTTTTGTCATCAAACCGCAACACATCGTCAGGGTCTGCCATGAGTCTCTCCAGTTCCACCTGTTGACATTTCATTGGTTGTGTAAAAGCGATAAGAGCAAGAAGGGAAATTAGGAACCTTGTGTAATACACTTTCTTGTTTTAAGTTAGGATAGGAACATTGACTTCAGAACTATTCATCTGTAATGGCGTTTTTCCTATCAGGAAAATCATCTTATCCGGTTCTAAGCCTTATTACCATGGTAACCAAACAGTTAAGATAGGATCTGCAGGTTAGGAGGTTTCTATAATATGGCCGCAGGTGCTTATAGGAGCTGGAATAAAACCTGAAAAACTTCAGATCCATCTTGTTTGTACAATATCATCAATTAAAGTACTAATCAGCAAGATCATCATTTTGATTTAGTCATCGCGTTTGGTGATAAACAGTAATCACTCCGGAGTTTTTTAACTGCACTTTGTCAAATCTTTATCTGTTAACTTTTTCTATTGTCCTGTTTAATCCTAAACGTCAGCAGTTTTTCATTATTAGGGATGTAAACAGTATTAAGAGTGTGTGGCGTCTGCTCGGCTGAAATCCTTTTTGTGTTTGCAGATTTACATGAAGTCTGAGGAGCAGCAATAAATGCAGGGATGAGTAGGTGTAGTGTGTGTGTGTGTGTGTGTGTGTGTGTGTCATTTATTTACATTGTTTACTGGAGAATAAATGGTTCATAAGGGCCACATAAATCAAATGTCCCACTCGAGATAACACGTGCTTGCATATGACGGAAGAAAACAGTGACTATTGAAGCTCTGCATATGGTAAGAGAAGACTTATGACCTCAGTATGATGACGCTGTTTCTCCTCTCTGTCTCCTCTCCAGCGTCTCCTCTCATCAGGTGAAGCACTGTGAGCCGCTGACCCTCCCCCCACCTCTCCTCCCTTCCTCCTCCCCCGCAGACGTCACCCACTGTCCCCAAATCCCTAAACCCTACCTGGTCTTACCTGTCAACCCCCATCCGACAGCTGCCACTGGCCCTCCCTTTACCCCATGGTGGCCCCAAGGCCCGCCCTCTCACTGCTATTGGCTGTCCTGGCCTGCACGGGGCCCGCACGCCCCTCGCCCCCCCTGCTGCTCCGGCCCCGGGAGAGAGAGAGGGACTCGGGTGGTGTCAACATCGCCGTGGTCCACTCGGGCTCCTCCCTGCTCCCGGAGACGGCGGTGGTGGGAGGTGCGGGGGTCGGCGAGCCAGGGCCAGGGATGGGGCCCGGTGTGGGAAATGGTCCGGGAGGAGGTGGAGGTGGAGGTGGAGGAGGTGGAGGTGGAGGAGGAGGAGGAGGAGGAGGAGGAAGGGGAGTAACGGGAGTAACGGATACAGCTTCGTTGGCAGGAGCAGCTGCAATGGCTTCGTTTTCCTCCTCCTCATCATCCCTGTCCCTGGCGGCGCTCGTGGGGGAGACGGTGATGACACCGTCAGGCCAGGCCAACGTCATCTACCTGGCTGTGAATGAGAGCAGCCCGGGCAGCCTTCTACTGCAGCTGTGTGAGCTGCTGGCCACCACACCACTACAGGTAGACCTACAGCACATACGTGACACACCTGTGATATGAAGTCCTCAGAGTCCTCCACAGTTTAGACAATGTTCCACAGATGTTCTTGAACAATATAACATTTGCAAAGGTAGATGAAAAACTAATATCCCCTTCACCCATAACACACTTTACGAAACAGACAGGAGGAGTGGTTAAGGTACAATGTCTTCTGAAGGCCTGACTGCACCTAAAGTAGGAATTAATACAATGGTATAGCTTGACTTTGACATGTGTCAACCCACAATGTGGCTTACATAATTAGCAATAGCACATTATATGATAACGGTTGTGTGTTCCCCTCACTGGTCCTCTGTTCGCCGCCTAGTTTGAGTAATTCTTTTCCACAAAGTTTCAAAATTTCCAAAGACTTTTAAATACCAGCTATCACTTAACATCTTCTCTCGTAAAGTTCTGCCACAGATGGGTCTTCACAAGACAACATTACCAAATGTTCTATTTGGTAACGCTATTTGTAAGTTTTTGCTCAGGTTAGCATTAACAGCTGTTTACTTGCCAGTTCACAAGATACGTTGTGAGTGTAGCGTCAAACTTTTCACTCCTTTACTCGCCAAAAGCTGTCCCCAGGAGTGGGAAGCAACCCTCTTGTTTTACTTCTATTCCTATTACTTCCATTCTTCCACTGAAGTTAGCATGCTAACCAGCCAGCCCTTGCTAGGTCGGACTGTCTCGGCTCTTTCCGATTCAGAGTCATCCGTAATGTCCAGGCCACGACTAAGTAGTGCTGCTCAGACGGCCTACTATAAGCTATTGCCAAGACTGGTAAGTAAACAGCTGTAAATGCTAACTTGTGTAGCAATAGCACAACTTAAAAACAACTCCTTTTAACCTGAAGATGTTACAGAGAAACTGGCCTTCCTCAAAAGTGTCTAGTTGGGAAACACGCACACTGACTCTGTCAGACCTTCAACATGTTGTCTACGTAGTTTTCTTGTTTGTTCCTTTGTTCATTAAGTTGTGTTTTACAGAAACCACAAACTCTCTGTTCATTCATTCATGTTCATTGTGTGAGTTTGCTCCATTTAATCATTCATTCACTCATTCATTCGTAGTATGACACTTGTGATGGGAGCAGATCTGAGTTTGCAACCTCATCTCTGAGAGCCGCTTGTGATCATACTGACAGAGGTAATACAGCACACTACATGTTATACTCATTCATCTATTCATTAATTCATCTGTAGAACTATACATTATGCATGTATTTGTCGAATCCATGTCTAGCTGTCTATCTCTCGATTTATTTTCATGTCGGAACAGTGAAGGGGTCTTGTTATAAACATCTTAGATCAAATATGATATTAACTCTTTTAAGTAACATTTGCTATCTTATTTCCAGGTCCTGTCTGTAGCTCCATTAGCATATCAAATGCTTCCCTGTGAGAATTGAGCTGTCAGCTGCACTTAGCTTCAATTTGCTTCCCTGAATCACTACAAGAAAACAAGCGTTCAGTCATCAAGCCGGCCTCATATCACCACAGCTCCTCGTCGTATCATTACATAAAGGAATGGCCAGAACGTCGTACATTTATCCTGAGTTCATTAACGCTGTTGACAGTTCTTTCTTGAAAGGTAATCACGGGGGGGGGAAAACAAAACGTGGTCACCAGAAAATTTGTGCAAAACACCGCTTCCTTTTGCAGCTGTAGTTCAGCATGTTTGCAGCAGCCACACCTGTTTGTAAGCCCAGCAGGAGCTTGAGGTCCCTCGCCCATAAGCCAGGAGCTTATCTGTTGTTTCTGTGGTGTGAAGCAGCTTAAGCTGTACAGGTACAACACACACTCTCCTCCTGACAGGATGCCAGTCCACTGCAGGGACTTAATTCCGATTTTATCTCTGTGAAAATTGATTGCCGAGCAGAGTAGCAAAGCAGTCCCATTTTTTTTTTTTTTTTTTTTTTTTTTTTTTTTTAAAAGCAGCGGTTCTTAAACTTTCTCCGGCGTGCCCCCCCCCCTTTACCACCACCACCACCACCACCACCACCACCACCACTACCTTCAGTTCATAATGTCTGTACTAGAATATGAGCCGTTATCTTGCATACGGTGAACAGCACATGGACTTACTCATTGTTCCAATATATTTTGCTCACTTGTTCAGCCTTTAATTTATTCTCAGGGTTTGGTGCATAAGAATAAAAGAAACGACAGCTTTGATGCATGAACGTCTGATGAGGAGCTTATGAAATTGTGTCTCAATGAGGGCTGATGTAACGTCTTTTGTCTGATGTGCTTTGTTTCGTTGTGCAACCTTTGTTCTACTTCCAGGGTTTGGTGTTTGAGGAGGAGAGACCACCGCCGCCAAACCGCGCCCCTCTGGCTCCGATGCTGGAGTTTGTCTCTGCCCAGACAGGGGTTCCCGTGGTTGCTGTCGGGGGAGGAGCCAGCCTGGGTCGAGAGCCACAGGTGAAAAAATGGATTACTTAAAGTTGCATCATCAACCTGTTTAATTTCATTTACACTATAAGCGAAGGCTGTCTGTGACTTAGCAGAGGAAACCCAGACTGTAAGAAATGATGAGTAAAGTGTCTGTAAAATCAACTCTTGGCCTCTGCAGACCTGTCTGAGGTGGGAATTCTGGGGATTCAGATTAGAAATCAGTGGTTAATTTGAAAGGTTACAGTTTAGCAATGGCTAACGCTGCTAGCCATTATGTGTGCTGTAGTCCATCATTGGTTGACGACTGTTTCTTAAGGGGCTGGTTCTTTATGAAAATTACATAATTGACTCTGCAAGTTAGTTTTTAATTTACACTTAATGATTTGTTTAATTTATAAATAATTAAGCATTCATTTTCAAACAAGAAATAGATCTAGGTCCTATGTGGAATAATACATTGCCTTCAAAATTACTCTGACTCTGGAGGCAGCACATGAAGCTGTAAACACAACATTAACATATTATCATAAATACATTACCGTGTATAGATTAGTTGCCTGTTTTTTAATATCTTTTTTTTTCTGCTTTATTTTATGGTGACAGTAGAGATAGACAGGAATATCATAATGACATCCATTTGTAGTCTTGTTTTTTGGCCACCTGATGAATGAAAGTCCAGTATTAACGCTCCTATTTGCTCTGTTTTGGTCTCCATCGACTCTTGAGGGTAGTATTTGGCTTTTCAGCTGCTAAATGCTCCACTAACTGGTTGCTAACTTTACTCTGTTTGCTGTTTTGGTGCTGCGAAGGCAGTAGCGTACGACGGGCTTATAACAGCTTTGTTGCCAAAAACAAACTGCCTGCTACGGTGATGAGAGCAGTGAGACATGAACCAGAAAGTTGCGGTCCATAAAACCAAGAGAAACAGCTCAAAAGAGATGTTGCTCTTCACAATAGAAATGTGAATTTCAACTCTGGATGTGACCAATTTCCTCCTGCCTGTGAGTAATGCAGATGTAACAGTCGCTGTCCGTAACAGGAGGCTGTCTCTCATAGTTCTGATACCAGAAAATGGAGCTGAGTGAATTTCTTCCAGACTGAAGTCGCTTGTAGGAACAAGTAATTTTCTAAATTCTAAGCATTTCAGGAAACATCCTGCTCCGACCTCATCATGAAGCAGTAATGAAGAAGAGGGAAGTAAAATTTTGTCAGAATTGCTCCAGTTCTGTCAGGGCTCCTAAAGTCATCAGCATCAGAATTGGTTTTCTTCACAGAGTAAAGAAAACATGCTGGTATATGACACTTTTACTGCGCACTCAGAGCATCCAGAGTACTACAGATGATACAACTAAGATGAGCTGTATTAGTAATTGCAATAAACATATTTTTTATATGTTTTTTCAACAGTAGTACTTATGTTGTGATCATTTTTGTTTGTTGGCTGGACCAGGACGGGAGTGTCTGTGGCAAAATTCACTATCTAATTGATCAAGCCTGTGTGTGTCACCTTGTTTTAAACGATGACTGCTTGCTCTTTGTGACCGACTAAATTAATGGGTGTCATCTCTCCAAGTGGGTAATTTGTGTGTGACAAAAGGTAATGTTTTGCTGACGGACATTAGTGATAAGACGATCAAGCTAACAAAGCGGTTTAGCCTGACAGGTGTGATATTTAATAAGTTGGCCAATTTGTTTTAAGTGGATCCCCTCGACAGTTTGATGTGGTTATTGTAATTTTACACAACTGTAACTTCAGCTACGGTCACAGGCGATGTTAACACACTCAGCTCGGCACTGAGCTGTCAGCACCAGAACATATCATTATCAAAAGCAGCTGTGTTTGTGGTGGGAGGTGAGTTGGCTTTGAAGTCGGATGAGGTGCAGAATTACTTTTGCTCTCGTTAGACTCAGTGAAGTCTCTTTGCTACATTTCTACAACTCTCTGTGCTGCTGCCTCTATCCTAAAATAAAAATGCTAAAGATAAGAAGATTTTAATGGAGAGAAACTGGTATTTTCATTGGTTGTTTTAAACCTCAAACAGGCTAGCACCAGTAAGCTAATTGCTAACATGAGTAGCAGAAAGAACATTGGCATTATGTTTTTAGTTGTCCGTAAGAATTTCTTCAAATCTGGCACGAACAATCACTTAGGCTCAAGGATGAACTGATTCAGTTTTGATGGCCAGTGGTCAAAAGGTCAAAAGTCAAGGTCACTGTGACCTCAAACAGTTTTGATCTTCTGAACGAAATATCTTGGGAACCCCTCGAGGGAATCCCTTCCAATTTGTCAAGAATGTCCATGTGAACGTGAAGGATGGACTGATTACATTGTGGTGGTCAAAGTTTAAAGGTCAAGGTCACTGTGACGTCACAAAACACGTTTTTGGCCTCCTGATATCTCCAGACCGCCTTTAGGGAATTTCTTCAGATTTGTCACAAATATTAATTTGGATATTCAAGGATGAACTGATTCGAATTTGGTGGACAAAGGTCGAAAGGTCAAAGGTCAAGGTCATGGTGACCTCACATTTTTGGTCATTACTTACAAATTCATACGCTATTATGACACAATTTAACACAAGTGTCTAATGTTAATTTCTATATTTCCTGCAACCTGGCTGGTTGGTGGAAGTTAACAATTGCAAGGTGGTAATTCTAGTTTTCATTCAGTTATGTTCTTGGAAGGTTGCTGTACCTCACTGGCTCATGTTAAAAGCTACACGTTAGCTTGAATTTTAAAAAGACAGCTGGACTAACTAGTAGCTAATTTAGCATAAATAGACTCCTAGCAGAGTACTAGGGTTGAGTCTGTCTCCTGCCTTTCCCTCTGAGATTGACTTAATTTGTTACTTAGTTAGAAAAGCTACGGTTCTTTGACCTTGCCCATGGGGGGATTTTTGCCTCCAGAGTAATCTCTGCTTTTGAGAAATATTTGTATAACTAAACTCTAATCAGGTCTTAATTGCCTTTGGGAAACTGAGTGATGCATGTTTCCTGATACACACCAAGAATCAATCAACCTTGTGCCAACAGTGCTTCTAAAACTGTGACTTGGGACACAACATCAGTCATTCATTCTTTCTGGTGAGTGCTCACTTGACATGAGTGCTGTTTTTTTTTTTTTTTTAAATTTTTTTTTATTTTAGCTCCAGCTTCCAGAGGGACGCTAAAAGTTTGTTTTATCTTTCACGCTGCCGCCACCACCACGAGGAACCCTCCCAGCATGCTCCACTCTCAGCTGAGTTACAGATAAGCTTACATCATAACTCTGATGCAGGTTTTGAAATTTGACCTAGTTCGCTGGAGCATAACCTGAGGTGAGCCCTGTCGACACGGGAAGGCGGCGTGATATTCCCTGAAGTTCCCTCTTTGATCATCTACATATACACACAGATGCAGAGTCTTGATGATTAATTTAAATACTCGTTCTTTGTTTTCTGCTCGGAAAGAGATAAATAATTAATTGTCAACAACACTGCTTAAGACTTTGGACAGTGTCAAAAAAGCAAATGCACAGACATATTCTCACTGTATGTCAGTGTTACAGCTCACATTCATTCCAGCGCTCAACCTACACGGATTTCTCCATCCCGATTCTTTATTCTAGTTACAATAGAGGAAAAAAAAAAAAGCCAATAGAGATGAAGTCCTCTTTCAGCCAGCAAGTGACTCATCTATCCAGATTAAATGTGACCGGAGCAGCAGGGAGAAAGTATATCATTGTTTCTTTCATTGACACTGAAATCCTCATTCACATGCCAAGGACTTTTTTGATGGAGAGACTGTGTTTTTTTTTCCTCTGAAAGAAAAGAGCTGACGTGGATGAGAACAGCACTAAATAGCATAGATGGCTACTGTATGGACACAATTGCACTTTTACATAACTGGGAGACTTAACAGTATGAGTTCACCTGTCCATGATCTTTAAATTACAATTCATGAAAAGCAGTGTGCAATTAATACGTGAATACCAAGTGCTCAGAGCCAGTGCAGGAAATCATGTACGTAAGATGAAAGAAAGAAAGATAATTCATTCTCAAGATTTCCAAATAAGAAAATGTCATGTTTTGTTGCAGCCCTGTTATCCTGTTATTGAGGTGCTGGTCACTGTGAAATGCAGATGTGTGATTTGATTGCTTGTTGATCTGCTCTTAATATTACAACCTACAAGCTGAGGATCATGTGACTGAAAAAGGATGAGGCGTCAGTACGCTACTTCTCTGTAGCCTTACAAGCTTGTCTGCCTGTTTTTAGAGGTCAATGGTAAAGTAGCTCATAGCATGAATGTCTTGCTGCAATTTTGATTCAGTCAAATTGTGATTCAAACATGTTATGAAAGAAATTGAAGAACTGTAGCAAGCAGCTACCCTTCAAAATGTGCCATTATATCCGTTGTGAATAGTCATGTGAACTTCTAGTTCATCAGATTTTGAAAACTACATTATCCCGTCATTATAAACTACATTTTGATTACTGTATTATTGCAGAGCTTTTTCTCAAGTTCACCCAGTAAAAGACTTCCACTAGCTCTATTCAGACTGTCTGGCTGGAGAAATTTCAATCCATTTTATAAAGAGACTCAACTCAGTACAACTGTAGTAAAATATATAATTTTCAGTGAGGCATTTTTATTTATTCAAACAAAAACATTGTTAAACACACAGTCACTCTGTCTACTAGATACATTTGTAATAATAACTCACAGAGCCATCAGCTGGTCAGTCGTCAACCGTAAACATGCTAACAGATTAGCCTGCTGGTGGTAGTGCAAACTCGGCTATTCTGAAGTCTGCTCGCCTTTCACATAGTCTCACACAGCTGTAAAAATTGCTGTGGTTGGGGTTAAGGGTTAGGGGTTAGGTTATGATATGGTTAGTTGTAGCAGAGATGACTGGTTGGGTTAGGGCAAGGTTGCAGTCAGGTTAAAGAGCTGGGAGGGACGGCTGGTTTGGGTGAGGGCTCAGATTTTAGAGCGATTTCAAGGTGATTCACCTTGTACAAAGTACTTTAAACCTGTGAGCAGATGTTTGTTAATGATCTTTGTTAGCTGGTTGTGTTACGACCCGGCCTCGGGGAAACCCTGGCGCAACATGAATACTGAGAGACTCCCCTCTTCCCAGCTCCCAGGAACCACCAGCCACAAGGAATTACAGCCCATTAGGGTTTTTATTCAAGATCTCTTTCTCTTCAGGTTGGGCTAACAGCAAAATAACAAACAGAAGTAACTAAGACTAAGGAACCTAAACTTACCTACTCAAACAAAAGAGGAACAAAAAAACAAGCCACTGACTTAACTCCTAATCTAACAAAAACAGGAGAAAATTGGGTTAAACAAAATTGCTACCCACCCCTACGGCACCTGGGCTGACATTTCACATAAACAACTATATACAATATCAGAACATGTTGGCTGGCAGGCTGGTTGGAAGTGGAAGAGATGAGCCCCTGCAGAAGCTGGAAGAAGCCGGCCTTAAAACTGCAAGCCTGGAGGCTGGCACCAATCAGCTCCCTGGAACAACCTACAAACTCACACAGTCAATCATTCAATCAGTCCCTGCACACCTACATCCCAACACACACACACATACACACACACCTACACACACACACACACACACACACACACATACACACACACACACACACACATACACACACACACACACCAGCAGGAACCCTAGAGAGAAAGAGAGATATCCACAACACCAGCACAACATTAAAGCACACACAAATTACACATCAGAAAAGTGCTACAAATGACCTCTGGGTCATAACAGGTGGAAACATGTGAAAAGAGTGTGTGTTTCGTACTTATATATTTGGTTTGGAGGGTTTCTAGCTAGCTATGTTGGCGCTTTAGCTAGCTAACCTCTTGTTCCTTCTGTTAAATATAGCCATTTTTTACAACACTGTTGTTAGCATTTATTTACCGAAAACAATCATGGTTTTGCGGGAAGGTCTGACTGTTTATTTAATTCAGTTCATGTGGCAATTCAAACAGTAAATGGTAAAAAACATTTTATATAGTATACAACTTCATGTTGAAGTACTGGTTAATGAGATAAGTTAGTTTCCTGGTCTTGGGACTGTGAAATTGCTTTAGTTTTGTTCATATTTTGCAGCTGATAATCAGCACAGACCGAGTTAAGGTGAGAGTCCACACCCTATTGCCCTCTGTTTAACGGTTGTGTGTCTAACTCTTGTGCTGGAGTTGGGACTTTCAGTCCCATCATGCAAGAAATTTAGGATTTTTTACAACCTTAAAGGAAAACTATGCGTTATTAGTACTTGGGTTTTATTTTTGTTGCCCTGACTCACTGATTGTATCGGTTATGGTAACACTGAACCCACTAAAGCAATTGCTAAAATCTCGATATGCAACATAGCTCCAACGAGGCAACAAACATGAGTCAGAGATGGTAACAGTGATTTGTTATCAGCCTTACTTGTGGTTCATCTTTGTTGATATTTTATAAACTGTAACATATATTTAGAGGCAACATCTACCTACCTGAATATCCAAATGTCCTCACGGCTTCATCTCTGCGTCCTTCTTTTCAGGAGAGCGGCTCCATCTACCTCCAGTTCACCTGCTCCACTTCGCTCCAGCTCGAGGTCATCTTCGAGGTGCTTGAAGAGTACGACTGGACTGCCTTCTCCGTGGTGACCACCCGTCACCACGGCTACGAGGACTTCCTGGCCATGGTGGAGGGTATGACGGACGGTTCGTTCATCGGCTGGGAGAAGAAGAGCGTGGTGATTCTCAACGTGACGGACGACCCCGGTGGGGCGCGAACCAAACGGCTGCTCAAAGACAATGAAGCACAGGTGAGTCAGGAAAATACACATTAACTGCCATTTCTGACTGACCACCAGAGTCAAGGGGCAAAAATACTTTCTCATATATCAAGTCTAATAATTGCAATTTTCTCAAAACTGCAATATTCAATATTTAACCTGTGAAATCAGTGTTTCTATATAACTCCTGTCGCTCATCCATATGAGCTGTCTATCTTGAAATGACTTGCCTGAGGCTCAGGTAGCCGACATCTGTAACTGCTCCACAAGCCTTGAAGAAACAGACGGTGAATGCAGCCAGTCTCTCGTTTAAAAAAAAAAAAAAAAAAAGGTCATTGTGACCTCCTGCTATCAGCTGCTAGCTTTAACTTGAAAGTCTAACATCTTTAAAAGTCCACTTTAGTTCGTCCAGAGGGTTTTATTATGTGCTCAAAAGATTATGACCGACACAACATCATAATCTGCAAAAACAAAATGTTCGACCACATGAATTGTCCACATGAAAAGCTTTTATTCAGGCCAGTGAGAGGACGTTAATGAAATACAAGAAGAAGTTGAATTAAACAAAAGATTATCATCTGTTATGTGTTTTTAAACAAAGCAGCAAAACCCTTCAAATGAAAATAAGTAATTGGAACTTGTTTTGCAAAGAAAGTAAAATCACACTGGAAGGATGACTACTGGAAGTCCTTGAACTAAATGTCATCAAATAAATGTCACAACAAAAGTTATCATATTTTTTCAGTCAAAAATCTGTTTATTTTCACATTTAAAGTTAATAGTTTTTATTAGAGACTTGAACAAAAATAAATGTATTTGGAAATGCACTTGAAATGCTCCCTCAGCCTCTAAACCTCTGTGTTATCAGGGGCTGATGAATTAGGTTCATCTTATTGAGCATCTAAACTGACCAAGCTTGATATTAGCAAGTAAGTTTTTGTGTTGTACTGTTCAGTGAGTTGGTTTGGTAGTAGAGCTGCAATAATAAGTCAATTTAATCAATTAGTTAATTGAATGGTTTACGTCAATTTTCAAAAAAAAATGCCAAAAAATCTGCTGGTTTCAGCTTCTCAAATGTACAAATTTGTTGCTTTTGCTTTTTCTTACATTGTAATAAATTAAATATCTGTGGCTTTAGACTGTTGTTTGGACAAAACAAGACATTTGATATTATCAGTTATTCTATTCTATCAATTGTGATAGGGATTTTTCACATTTGTGTTCTGTAGACAGAACAATGAATTGATTAATTGCAAAAAGAATGAATAACAGTTGCAGTTACCTTGTCAAGGTCTGACACGGTGCATGCACTTTATACAAATATATCAGTCCACATGAAATTAAACAATGATGTTCTGATGCACAGATGTGTCGAGATCATGAAACAAAATAAATATTGAATATGAGTTTCTCCCTGACAGAGTTCGCCTCTGTTTGCTGTAGCAAGAAAACAAAGCCGCAGGCTTACAGTTAAAACCTTATTTAGGGGAGGTTGACTGAGGACACACTATTCATTTACACCAACTTCCTGGGGGACCACTTACACACACACACCATCAAACTCACCTGCGGGAGCTTTGTAGTACAACATCAGCGTTATCGGTTGTATCTCTGCCCCGAGCTCCTCTCCTGAAACATTGAGCTTGTGGTATTTTCTGAGGGACAGAGTCACAAACACTGCGTTCAATTTGAGGGCTCATATATACAGATATGCTGTACATGAACACTGTATGTGTGTATATATAAAAGTCTGAGACCATTTCCCCATTCAATTGAACTCCCATGTCCAAGTGGTCACAGACTTTCGGACCCCACTGTACATGTATATGTTCTTTTCTGGCACATCCAAGCCTCCGGTTATAAACTCAGCTTTTCTGAGAGGTGCTTACATGTCAGCAATAGTTTTCAAAAAGTGACCAATTACAGAAGAGGAGCAAAGAGTTGAAAGGTTATTGACATTGTTGTTTCCAATGGCAACAAACCGACGAAAAATAAAGAAATTACCATGAATAGACGGAAAGAATACATCCAGGTCAGTGTGTAGACTTTTAATATTCATCTGTGTCCCTGGTGTAGCACAGTGCTAGCTACACAGCCAGTGTCTCCAGCTACACATTATAAAGCTCTGGGATCTTGGTTAGCAGACTTAAAGTAAAATTGAGTTCAGAAATCAGACTGTTCAGTGATCTATTGCCGGGAAACTTTTTCCAACCTTTTGACAACATAAAAGGTTAGAAATGAAAATACTCTTTTTTCTGCACCATTGCTGTAGAGAAACAACATAGTGCAGAGGAAATGGACAGTAAAACCAAAATGGACGTCATCTGAGGTGACCTTAGCCACGGTCTAACACATCTGATAGGGAGGAAGGAGATTCTGGGCGCCACGGGATCTTTCCCACTTCCTTCTTCTCCCCAACCCTCGTCTTTGTACGCGAGCAATATCTCCTCCGTCTCTCTGTTTCACACCGCAGCATTCATTCCTTTCTCACATCATTTTGCCGTTTGCAGCATAAATGACCTTTGTCAAAATGAAGTCCATGAAAGGGAGAGAGAGAGAGAGAGAGAGAAAGAAAGAAAGAGAGCTGGGGGGGGTGGACCAAAAGTAAAAGGGCTACAGTGAACATGATGTAATGTAATGAAAGTGATATGAAATGTTGAATAGTGAAGGTGTGAATCTTCTCTCTGCGGGGCTTTAGATGTGGAGATGTGCATGTGTAGATGAAGTTTTTTTTTTTTTTTTTTTTGACAAGTTTGTGCAAGTGCATTTTTAAAATTTCAAGAGTTAAAGTTTCAAGAAGCATGTTGCTTATTAATAGTTCTGATGGTAATTATGTGAATGAGGAATGTTTTATCACCAATGGCAATATTAATTATGGAAAAATACTGTGAAATTAAATTGATTGTTGGGGTTATTTGAGGTTGTCTATAGTCAGTGTATTATCTGCAGTACATTCAGATCAGTGCATTGCCAGTTTGGAGAAGCTGCTGCTGTGAAAGGAGTCTGTACAAAGAAATGTTTTAGCCACTTCAAAAGAATACCCACAGAAAAAAAAACTAATATAAATGCATGCTTTTATTTTGAATATTTTCACCGTAGAACTACGCACAAGCACTGTATCACGCCGCAGATCAGCTGTTTGAGTCAGACAGAGCTGCGGTTGTGCGTAGGAATACGGCTGAGAAGATGTAGTTCCAAAGGAAAGGGCTGTTTCATGGCAAGATAAAGTGGTGAAAATATTCAAAATATAGTGTACATTTCAACTGACATTCGTTTTTTTCTGGGGGAACTTCTTTAAGTGGCTAAAATAAGTATTTTTGCTGACCCTGTCCTCAGCAGCTCATCCCTTCATCGCTTCTGTGTCAGAGCTCCTGCTGCTTCTATAAACTGGCAGCGCACTGATCTGAATACTGACTATAGATAAGTACCTCACACAACCCCAACTCAAATAACCTGAACTATCATTTTAGTGTCAAATTGACATTGAATGATGATGTTCTGTGTGAGTCCTTGACCTCCATTCAGACTCTATCTGTAATAGACGTTCTCTATAATACAAAGAACACGTACTGTGGTACTTCAAACTACCTTAATATGCTGGTGCTAAAATTCATTTCTCAGCTGAGGTCTAGACGACCGCAGTGGATGCTGAAGTATTATTAAATGCCCCCGACTAAAATATCCACTTCCACACCAACAATAGTAAACAATGGTCTGGGATTCACAGGGCAAGTTTTTTTTGGAAAGTCTTAGAGGATGCATTATTTTTTTATTCACTGAGATGTTGCCCGCTGGGTCTCCAGGGTCAATATTATCCATCTAAATGTGGTATTTTCTACAGCAGTATATTAGCACATGTCCTTGGCAAAAAAAAGAGCTTATTGCTTCTTTATTTGCCTTCCCGCCTTAAAGGCCAGTGTGTTTTGGAAGCAGCCTCTGTGTAAGTGTGTGGGTACATCTCATTTGCCTTACGTTCTGTCTCCTCACCCCTTGATTCTTGGGCGACCCGGCAATCGATCCGGTCTGTCACTGTATAACAGAGTACGTTCTAATGCTCCTCGATCTGCTTTTGGAAGAGCGGAGATCAATGAGCGAGGAAGCTTGAGTGAGGAAATACCAGAGCAGCCTATATGCAGAAGCCTGTTATCGGATCCACACACACACACACACACACACACAGCTTTACTGTAAGTCCGTCAGCGAGAGGACGCACCGGCATCGGGCTGCTTTGAAGCTGCATCGCCAAAACACAGCAGTTTACACCTGTGCGGACAGTTAAATATTATTCCGTTTTTTTTTTTTGTTGTTGTTTTTTCTGAATGAAACTATTGATATCAGCTATCATTACATAATTTGGCTGCTAAATTATTTCCACACATTGAGAAAATCTGATTATTAAAATAAAAATAAAATACACCAGTGTTCACTGATCTGTATAGTACCTTACATTACCCATGCAAATACAGCTCCAAAAAAAGGACGACATGTCGTCCCAATTTGCATCTCAATTGGCAAAGTTCACGCACTACGTCGCTGAGTAAGCTGTGTACACTGTGTACACTGTGTACTGCATGTGAGTGTACTGACTGAACTATCCGATTTGAGCATGTTCTGTTTGGGTCCTGTTGAACTCAGTCAAACCGTAGAGTAGCTTTAGCCAGAGTAAGCCAGAAAACGTTATTATAGATTTGGTTTGGATTGGTTTTTCTTCAGGTTTTCTACCAATGAACTTTGCTGTGAATTGTCCTCCATTGTTCTACAGTGTATGATACTGGCTGGTCATTATTGTGTAGCGGTCACACCTTGAAACTGGCCTGTTCTGAAATGCTGCTAACAGGGTTAGACGCCAATTTCTGCACAATCCTCTCACGATGCTCTGCGCTTTGGAAAGCCTAAGGGCACTGTTTCACAATGTACCTATAGTAGCAGCATTACGGGGCAGGTTTATTACTGAATGGTATTCGTGGACTGGATACAGTACACACTGTTGATGTTGGAATCATCGATTGAATTTGGTTCAGTCTCGTCTTTGCTGTGATGCGAGTATGAATTCAGTCAGAGAAGTGTGTCTGAGTCAGTTGAGACTTTCTCTCTCTGCTCTCTCTATCGCTCCATCTCTCTCTCTCTCTCTCCCCCTCTCATCGTACATTAACACATCTCACAAACTGACGGTATCTGGATGCAAACAGCCTGTATTTCATTAACATCTGAAATTAGAATTAGCCTCCAGTGCCCCCGAAGAATTCCGCTGCCCCTCGCCGAACACAAGTCTGCCTCGCCGACCTGACAACCCTCTATTGCGGCTAATACAAAATAATTTATCTCATGTCTCTTCTATGCCAGAAATCTCTGAGGCACTGGGGAGGCTGTAGTGCTGCATGGGCCATTTATTTTACTTCAAAGCTCGCCTTCGCCAATTAACATACCGCAGGCATCAGCTGATGATCCGCATCTTGGTGTTGTGACTGGTAAGCAAGAGAGCCGGTGTGTACTCATCTGAATCGCTTAGGTTTATCGTTACAGGAGAACAAATGCACGATGAATCAAGGAGTGCAGCAACACAAACTAGTTGTGTAATGCTATTTTTTTTTTTTTTTTCATTCAGACTTTAATGTTAAAGAGTCGAGAGTAGTAGCTCCGACCATCTTCTGAGGCAGGTTCAGAGTTTAACATCCAACTTCACGGCTGAATTCTGCACTGAAATGCAGATCAATCCGGACCGGACAGTGTATCATGGATATTGATTTGTGCTTTTCTGATGAAAGAATGAGTGAGCAACATTGTAAATATGATATATCTTATGTTTTGGATGATCTTGCTTTGGCGTATGATCTACTTTTCATATGGTCAGAAGGTTGGTTTTTTTTTTTTTTTTTTTTAAATTTCAAAAGAATTTCAAAAGAAAACAGCATTATGGGGGAAGAATAGCAGCGAGCGGATAAACATCCATAAGAAGCGTCAAAGCGGCCTAAAGATACAAATCACAAGTTACGGTCAGGATCTTCAGAATAAAACCTGAGAAGGAACGGGATGCAGTGTGGATTGTGATCCTACCCATATCGTCACATGATCTTTTGGCCGGACCGAACGAGCCTGCGGAGTGGAACAAATACCTCAGTCCGATATTAACTCTACTTTTAGCTCCGGTTTGGTCTCCAGTAACTCCTGAATTGAATACCTGGTTGTTTAAATGCTAAATGTTCCATACAGCTAGTTGCTAACTTCGGCCATCTTCATCTTGTTTGCTGCCTCCTGCTGTTGGAGCTGATGAGAGTGGAAAGACCAAAACAATGAGCTAAAAGATGCTAAAATGCCTCATAGAGCTGAGGGAGAACTTCAAAATTTAAATTACATCATTTAATGCATTGTTATTGTAAATATTTTGTGTAGCTTTAAGCTATATGATGGGCTGTCGAATGCATTAAGTTTTTGTCTTCAGTCATGTAGGTGTGTTTTGCAAAGTCGGTGTAAAAACATTCGCCCAAGATGTCTTTAAACAACAGCTGTCAGGGTTAAAAATGGAGCTGTTTCATTTTGAAATGAAAAATAACTACCTGTTGAAAACATGACACTGGGTCTAACAAAAATAATTAGTGACATTAAATTAAATTAAATCAGCTCCTGGTTCTTTGCTAAATGATGTATTTTTCACCACTTGATTGATTTGAGCCCGTGTATTGATGCGGTTTAGCTCTGTCGTGAGAAAACATAAAGATGCGGGGGGAATCTAAATGGAATGTGTTCTTCCAGAATGAGATGGCCAACATTTGAAAAATGAGACACCTGCGCTAACAAAGTGATTGATGGCATGAAATTATAACAAATTACGGCTCTTTCTGAAGGATGGCAGGAGGCAGGGAACCGAAAGCTCCTGCCTCCAAGGATGGGAGGAGGACTGGATCATCTTTATTTCAAACATGTAGAACGACAAACTTCAAGCTCATGAAATGCCAGCGATATATGTAAAGAGGTCTAAATATACCACGACTGCTCGGAGGATGTGATTGACAGGGTTTGAGCATGAGTGTGGACCCCTCGCCAACCCTGATCCGTTCTCCTGTCAGCTGAGTGGGAGGGATCGGCGTCATCTCGCCGCTCGCTCTGACGCGAGTAACGGTCGTGAATGCGCAGTGTGTGTGTGTGCGACAGGATCCGCACACCACACACGCACACACACACCCCTGCTGGCAGAGTGTGTCAGTAAAAGCATTTCACATTCTGCTTTTGACTAATTTCACTTTTATAACCTTGTCAATTTTCTTACAGAACTGTGGCGCAAATTTCCTCAAGTGCTTCCTCTGTGTAATCATCTGAAGTACCCTTAGCGTCAAATGCACGCACACACACACACACACACACACACACACACACACACACACACACACACACACACACACACACACACACACTGCAGCCTCTACTTTCACATTTTTTACTCTCACTTTGTCTTTTTAATCCAGCTCCCCCGTTCAGTTCCTCGTCTTTAATAATGTATGAAGTGGAAATACAAGCAGACCAAGTGATCAAGTGTAGCGCTCTGTGTAAAAAAAAAAAAAATAAAAAAAAAAATAAAAAGATGAGTATTAATGCATAAGTTCACCAAATGTATTGAAGGACAAATGAACCTAATCCATAAATGTAAAGGGAACATGAAAGGGCTTTATGGGAGCAAACAGCGAGGAACAAGGAGGATGAGAAATGGGATGGGAATTCACTATGTGCTTCTGTTTCTCTGCATCCATCCATCCTCCCTCTCTCCTGCCCCTCTGTCTCATCCTCTGTCACTTTCACTGTTTTCCTCCCTCCCTCTTTCCTCCCTTTCGTTTAATTGATTCATGTCTCACTCTCCCACTTGTTAAACTTACTCGCTCTATTCTTAATCCGTCAACTCTTTTTCCCGCTTCTTTAATCCCCCTGCTCTCCCCCATGTGTCCTTTTTCATTCCTCCTTCTGTATTTTCACCCTCTTTTTCTGCTAATTATCGCCTATCCTTATTTCATTCTTTAACTCCCTCCTCTTCTTATTCCCGTCCTCCAGGTCCGTCTGCTGTACTGCTCCCTGGAGGAGGCCGAGCTGGTTTTCCGCGCGGCCTGGGCGGCGGGTCAGGCCGGGCCCAGTCACATGTGGTTCGCCGTGGGACCGGCCCTGTCCGGTTTGGGCCTGGAGGGTTTGCCAAAGGCCTTGTTCGCCATCCGGCCGCAGGGATGGAGGGACGAGCCGCGCAGGTATGAGCAGGAGCTTTTGGAGGTATTAAGATGTGTTGCATGTAGTCGTTTTTTTTTTGGTCACTCATGGGGCTTAATGTACACGTACACGGGCTAGAACAGCACACGTTATAGCTGCTTTAATAAACAGAACAGGATGTGATGTCACTTAATTAAAACAAGTCTTTTGCTCAACGGTGGCCACAAGTGGCAACCGCAGGAAAAGTTTTAAAGTCAGTAAACCAAATGTTTAACTCTTACCTACACCCAAACATAACAAAAAGAATGGCGGAAAACACAGATAAATACTTTCCTTGTTTAGTGTGGGGCAAAGAACAAACACGTTTCGGCTAAAAGCCATCATCAGCATAATCAACAGTCTTGGATGTGACAATCTATACAGATAAGTGAGGTTTAAACAATTCAATTGGTCAATTGGAATTTAAACTTCACTTATCTCCACATTAAACAAGGAGAGTATTTATCCTTGAGTGCCCCCGTTCTCTTCTGTTTAGATTGCAACGACCGGCGCCTGATACATTGAGTATCCTGTGCATGCTGCTACTATATCTCCATTTACAATTGTGACCTGTATGGTTACATTATAAAGAAAGTGTAAATTGCATGTAATGGATCAGTAAGACGGTATTTGAAGGTGGTGTGATCGGATCAGAGTCTGTACATTCTTAAGAAGAAAGTTTACAAGTTGAAAGATCCGCTAACTCCACCTCTTCCTGCTAGCTTAACCAAGCATAACAAAAAGCTAAGAGCAGTACTTTCCTTCCTATTGCAGATTTCAGATAAACACTCAGAAACCAAATCCTGCAAGGTTCAATGGTGGGTCCAAGTGGGCGGGGTTTGGGGCATGGCTGAAGCCCTTTTTTAAGGCTCAAGTTCTGAATACGGACTCTGTGGACTGAGCGCTTTGATGCTTTCGCAGTATTAATATAGAACCTAAACCTGCTTTATAATCAAAGAAGGCATGGAAATCTACCTTTATACTATATGGGACCTTACCATATATAATTTGCACAGTGAAAAGAATCAAGATAATTGCCTACTAATACCAAAATGCAAAGGCTAATGATTAGATGTGATTATGCAGAGAACCTATCTAGATACAGATTGGACATTAAGTCAGTATTTTCCATCCTACAAGAATATTTATGTTCCATATTTGAGATAAAACTCTTAACTCAAGGTTCACGTTCTGAGCTATGCCCGAAGGTTTCGGCTGAATTCCACGGCCTCTTAGTTAGTGAACCTTGATTTTAGAAGTTTTATAACAGATATGTGTTTTCCAAGATGAAGAATTAATCTCTATGTTCAGTATTTATGTATCTGAAATTCACTAACATTAGGCACCAGGAGATGCTAATGTGATGAAGGCCAAGTACATCTGTAGCATCACAACCCAGGAGTGTAGTGAACTGACCGAGGGTGTGTTTGTTTTGTTTAAAAGGAACATTGTGTTATTTCTTCTTTTGAAAGTGACTTGGCCTTGATTTAGAAGTTGATGTATTTTTCGATTTTTGATGACATCATTCATTCTCATAAGATTTGTGGCTTTGTTCAGTAGAAAAAAAAAAAAAAAAAAAATTCTTATATTATTCCATTATATTTTCAGTGGTATTAAATCATTTTCCTAGCAGCACTGCAGATATAGAGTCAGTGAACCCTCATTTCTTCTCAAATAAAAAGTGAAAATGTCAAATCCACTTGAATGAGCACTTTGAAACTTTTGATGCTGCTCATTTGTAAAACTTTTTTAATGGTTCTTTACAGAACAAGAAACAGCCCTGCATCATTTTCTGGTGCTGTGTAACGTGTGCAGGTTATTGTTATTGCCGTTGCTGAAAACTTCAATTTTATAGTTTCTTTTCTTTTCTCTCAGTTGAATAGGGGGTTCACGTATTAAATGAGCTCTGCAGTTCTGAGCCTTGAAGCTGCTGAAAACCTTTATCATTTTAAAAATACATGAGCATCAGAGAGAAAATAAACATTCCCCCCATGTTTTGTTTTTTTTTTCCTGCAGCAACGCACAGAGGCACACGGTAAAATTTTACGACCACCTGGTCTGTCCATGATGTATTATCTGCTGCAGGGATGATCTGGTTTCACCCCAGGGATCATTAAATTTTCATCTAATCTAATCTAAGTAGACCGACCAAGTGAATCCAGGTGAAAGGTGCGATCCTTTATTGATTTTGACTATTAAATCCACCTCAGTCGTGAAAGCAGATGCAGCAGGAGGCCGGATATAAAGGATTTTTACACTTTATGGAGACGATTCAGTGATGCCTGGCTTTGTAAAAGAGATTCTGTTTTGCAGCAACAGCGTCAACCAAGACTTTGGGGGGTTGTATTACCCAGAGTAAAAACTGTGAAATAACTTTTCTATTTTCCTACAGAACACAGGCACCAAACTCATCAGTATACAGCTTTTTTCCTATTCCTATTCCTAAATTTGACTAGATGTATTTGAAGACACGAAGACACTGACATGTTATAACTATTTTTTTTATTTTTTTTTTATTTTTTACATCATCCCACATATCACTTTGGACACTGCCACATCACCCTCTGTTATCTACCTGTCGACCATGTTGCGTGCATTGAGATGCAGTATTCCTTCCAGTTTCCCAAGCAGCACTTTGAATGCATCTGGTTTCTATGTTTGTGAAGTTAGTGTCCATGCTGGAGGGAAAGCCCAAGTGAGCAGCACACTTGTCACTTCCAGGCAGGACTTCACAGTTCATTCTGAAACACAGAGGCTGGATGCTTAGATGGACGTGACCGACACAGAGGACCTGACAGGCAGGGTAAACCTCATCCCCTCATCCCCAATTGGAAAGGTTCAGCCTCACTCAGGTTCATTCAGACACTCCTGCACAGAGTCCAAATTTACTATCTTATCACCAGAAGGGAACAGTTACGAAAGAATTCCTGTACAACAGCAGTTCGTATAGACATGTGCATCTGATCAAAAAAAAGTCTAACAGTTTAAGAACCTCACAATCTTTCAGACCTTTTATAAGGTGATATTCATACGCTGGTTCTACATATATGAATAAACAGTAAGGGCAAAATGAAAATAAATACAAGACAAATACAAGTGGTGAATTTAGTCAGTCATGACGTTTAATAACATAATGACCAAGATGGCGACGGCAAAGCAGCCCGCTCTGAGCTTCAAAACTGGTCTTCAGAAAGATCATGGAGTCCATCTTTACATACTGTTTTGATCCGTACAGTAAAACCTTAACTTTTCTAAACTGGGATTTATGCCTGGCTTCATGTGGCGGGCTCTTGCAATTTTAGAGTTTAAACAACCTAAAACTTTATAGCTTGACAAAAAACACTTCAACACAAGGTCAAATTTCCTTGTTATATCTGAAGCTTTCAACTCAATCTTGCACCGTCCTCAGAGGATGGACTTGCTCATTCGTTTCATTTTTATCATGTGACCTACGTAGTGAATTTCTGTCATTCCCTACATAGATTATATCATATGATAATAACTTGAGCATCTCTGTGACAGATGAGCAACTCAATTTGCTGAAGAAGGGCCACAAGATGAGACTGAAAGCTTCCAAAACAATTCATTTGAATTTGTTATGTGAAGTTGTGATTTTCCCAGACTACGAATCAACTTTCAAATCCAGCTATTGTGGATATCAAAGATTCAAGTATAGAATATGTCTTTTGATGCTTATTCATCTTACTATTAATTGTACCTTTACTTTTTGATTTAGTGTTTCTTCTTCTACTTGAGTAAAAAAAAAAAATTCCACCGCTCCGTCATGCTATATTGTTTTTTATTACTATGGGCTGTTTAAAATGAAATGCCAGTTATCGAAGACAAATACTTGGTTAAAAACAACTCGGTCATGTGATATTTCCCGACTTAATGAGTTGATGAAGAGCGCCTGAATGCACCATTATGCAATTGACCAGTTCACAGTGGATTATTGGATACTGAGGAGTGCAAAGGCTACACCAGCTGTGTCCCTTACACTCCCGCCTCCTCTCGGTGGTATGTGTGTAATGTAGCTGCCTCTCACTCTCTTCCGCAGTGTGTTTTATGAAGGCTGCTGCTGATGGATTCCTCAGAGAGCCTTTTTAGACACTAAAAAATGATGTCTATGATTTGGACCAGTAGTTTTTGTGAACATATTAAAGAAACCGCACTCGCTGCGACAGGAACGGAGTCTTTACCCCCTGCACCGCTAAGCAGCTCTTTCAAGTCACATATGAAATTAAATTCAACCTCGTTAACTGATTCAACACATCATAACATGCAACTTCATTATTCTTGCGCCTGGAAAGCAGCATATTGTATAAATCATATGATCAGAACATGTAGCTTATCAGTAACATCACGACTTTCAAAGTTTCAGACGTGAACGCCCTGTTTCCTCTTCCTGAAGATGACGATGAATCAGTTCCTTGTGAAGAGGACAGAATTTGCGACAGCTCCAATTTATGCACAGAGCACTTTTGAACTTTTGAACTCTCTTCAACAGTCCTTCCTCACTTCATGTCCTGGCCCACCAGCTTGTTTGAAGTGGTAATGCCCTGAATTATGGAAGCAAGACTCCATTGAAATGCTTTATGAATTTGGGATCATTAGATAGAGCTTCCTGCCTTGCTGGAACCTTATCAGCAGGAACCTATTGTTGGTCTTAAATGTATATTTTACATAGTGCATCTTAGCATCATGTATAATAAGATGTGAGAAGTGTTTGGTGTTGTTTTTGCAGTGAATTACAAGTCAGAGTTGAGTTTACCGTCATATTAAAAAGCGGTGTCTTTTTAAATAGTCTCTTGCTCTGTAAAAAACCTCCTGCAGATCAAAGTCTGATCTATTATTAAACTGTCCTGAGACAGAGAGAGAGACAGTCTGCTAATATTTATTTATTGGAGCGAAGGATCCTTCAATACATTTCGAAACTGGATGTCGGATGTTGTACTGAAGTCGAGCCTGCACTAACTGATTGCCATGAGCTGGTTCAGTCATGCTTCATCATACTGTGGCTCATTCATCAGCTGCTCGGCTACCAGCTGACCAGTGACATCCATTCAGATTCATACATGTGTATGAGGTGGCCTTTAGAAGAGCTCCACTGATGCCTTAATGCCAACATCGTTTGCTGCTGCAGCTCCTGAACCAAACCACCAACCTCTCATTGTGTTAAAGCTTTTTGGATCCTTGGCCTGAATGGATCTAATATTCAGGTTTGTGTTTGTTAGAGAGGGGTCAGTTCTCCTTTAAAGAATCAGTGTTCTCTCTCTGATTCTTTCACTCCAGATCAATTTCTGCCAAATCTTACTGAATAAATATATATAGTTAGTTAGCTATTTATTGCACACGCACATACAAGTGCTAAACCCACACAGATGCCAAAAATACTGTTGCAGTGGTGAAGTATTTATCAGCCTAACTTTGTTAATGTACAGCATTATAAGGAAAACAAAGAAGGAAAACCAATTTAAAATCTGCCACAGATCTCCTCCCTAGGTTCTTTTTAATCTACCAGCCACAAAAACTCAACCAACATTTTACTAAAAGGTGCAGCACTTGGTCTTCACAACTAAATGCACATAGCAAACACAATCTTTTCTCTTAAGGTAAACCATTCAACTTGACTGTATTAACTTATTACTTATTTACATTTACCTGTGTTTTATTTGAAGTATTGATCCATAAGAAGATATATTTATGGTCTTAAATCTAAAAAAAACATCTTAATATAATTTTACTTCTCCTCTCATAGGCTTCTCTCTGGAGCTCTAGTAACAACAGGTTGGTGAGCCAATCAGAGGAGAGGCTCTGAGCCTCTCTTCTGATTGGCTGACTGTTTTCTGAGGGATTGAATAAAACAAAAATACAGCAGATTTCAGGTCAACAAATCAAATCCTGCAAGGTTGGTCCAGGTGCACTGGGCTTGGGGTGAGGCTTAGAGCAGTGACTGCTCTGTTGTGACATCATAAAGTTACAGAATTTCTGACAGCTCGTTTTAAGGCATGAATTCATGTTTCGGTTTCTGAATACAGGCTGTGTGCATTTCTCTGTGGACTGAGCTTTCACAGTATTAATATAGAACCTGGACCTGCTTTACAATCAAAGAAGACATGGACATCTACCTTTATACAATACGGAACCTTTTAAAGTGCCAACACATCTAAATCTCATACAAATAAATACTTTTAAAAGACAGCAGCTTTAAACCTTTGCAAATTCGATCAACACCCTGGTGGTCTATGGATGTGTTCGTGGCTAGCCTGCTAGCTAATGATATACAACATTTAAATTATAGAATTTTAGGCCTTTTTGAAGGTTTTCTCTTTTATTCGAGAGCTAGCTGGAAAGCTTTCCTGCTCTTTCAGGTCTTTGTGCTAAGATAGTCTAAACATACCCTGGACCAACCTCCCTACCAACCACACAGAGATTAAAGTATTTCTCCTCTCCTCTCCCTCTCAGCAAGACAGCAAACAAATGTGTTTCTCAAAATGGAAAAATGTTCCTCAGCTTGTCTCTAATGAAAGCAAAAACGAGAGGGAAAGTGATCTATTGCTGGCGAGTCCAGTTTTTGAGCTGATGAGGGGACAGTTTTTATTTTGCATTTAAGTTTCGATTCATCACTTTGTGTGTGCAGAGAAGTGCTCACGCCAACACCACAACCTCATTTGTAGAAATTGGGTAATTTTTCAGTGTCTCAGTCAGTGGAGATGTGCCAAGATGAGTGTTCTTTAAAATTCGGCCTGGTTCAGCTCTAAGTTACAAAGGAGAGGAGTCCATTCATTTTCCCCTGTAGGTTCAGTGCTATTAACTTTGAGTCTTGCTGCATTTTCTTTGTCACTGGATATGCACTTATTCAAGCAGCAACTACTGTCTTCCACCGAGACTGTCTCCTTTCTTTTTTTTTTTCCTCTGAAAAGAAAAGACCTTTTGAAAATGTCCCTCTGTCTCTGTCTCACATTGTACTCTCCCTAATCCTGCAGGCGCATTGCCAAGGGCGTCTCTGTGCTCACCCACGGAGCAATGGCACTGCGGAGGGACCAGGGGGCCACCAGCCGGTCGCAGTACGCAGGCAACTGCCAGAGTGACGGTAACCAGACCCATCGAGTGCCAGACAGGATCAGGTGAGAGAGAGGGGGGAGTGGGGGTGGGTGGGGGGGGGGTGACTTTGAATTTTGATGTCGTTCTCACCAGCGTCTGACATGCAGCAGAGTGAGCGAGCAAACAGCAGAGCAGCATGGAAAAGTAAATAGTGGCCAGCAGCTTTAATGAAGCCTCCACGTTCAGAGCGAAACCAGAGAGCTGAGTCATGCTGGCCTGAAGAAATAACTGTAGTCTTTTCTATGGTCAGGATTTACAGGTGAAACCACACGGTTGATGATGATGGTAGCCTGGCTTTCTGTGTTTTAGAGGATTGATTACTGAATATAGTGATCATAAGGTCGAACAAATGTCGGCTTTATATATTATCATTGCACTTTTACATAATGAAAGCACCTCCACGCTGAAAGCATATCGATTTCGCAACTCAGCAGCACTGTTCAGGGTCACATTCAGCAAGGCTATAATGTAGATATACAATACATTATGGCGCGTTCATATCCTGATGAACAATACCGGTGTAGTTGCTACTGTAGCAGTGAATGCAGTTGTGTGTGTGTGTGTGTGTGTGTGTGTGTGTGTGTGTGTGTGTGTGTGTGTGTCTGTCCTCTAACAATGAAAGTGATATCTGAAAAACACTTGTACAACACTGGTATTTTCATGGCTCTGTCATATACTGTACATCAAATCTTTTTTTTTTTTTTTTTTTTTTTTTTTTTTTATGCCTTATGCCTTTCTATTTTGCTTGCTGTGGCGCTAGTTAGCATGCAATTCCTTTCTATTTTCCAACTCACCTGGAATACCTACAATGTTAGACACCTTTGTCCATTCAACCTTTATTTTATCCAAATCCTTGTAAACAAACAGGAACACGTCGTAAAGGACGTGGAAACCCATCGCCGCTCTTATCAAAATCCCCTCCATTGTGCTTGGGAATACATATTTGATGGGAACTATGGGAACTATAGTTTACACAATCGTGTTCTCTTAAGTTCTCTACAGCGGAGCACACAGCTCACATAGAAAATGAATGACTTTGGCGTTCTCGCCGCTTTCGGTCTGAACTCACGGTTACTTATCACCTGTGTCCAGAATCCTGGGGCTGCTGCCTGTTGAAGGACGTATCGCACAAAGATACATCCTTCAGGGAACTCGAGGTTAATCTGAACATGGACAAGGAGAAAAGTAACTGACTCACACTGACTGAACCTTTTTGGAAATGTTGTCTTTTTGAATAAATTGTGTAGCTTGGAGTCAGTGTGCAGGTGTTGATGCTGCTTTTCAAATTTCCTCACACCTGTTCAAGATGTGCATATAATTATAACCTACCGCCTCATTTGTCAAACGTGGACAAGCACCATAATATCAGAGTTCACAGAACAAGTTGAGACGTTTTTACTTAAAAGCATGAGGGAATACAGAATATGTCCATATAACTTCAATTTACTGTGTGTGTAATGGTGTTTTGTAGCTATGAAGAGCCCAGTTTGTGATGCAAATGTAAACAAAAACGGTGAAGACCAAAACTGAAAACACAACCTGTCTTTACTACACCTGCTGTAAATCGGAATCTGACTGGTCTCTCTGCTGGAAACAGGCTCGGCGTGTGATTGGGTGTTGTCAGAAGTCTGTCGCACCTGTTGCACCTGTAACCACACCCCAATAGTGATGTCACAGTATACTGAAAACATCCCGGCGTAAACTCGTTCATCACTGCAGTGAGGTACGACATCGAATAACTGGACGGCAGCAAAAGTAAAAGGTTGTTTATCAGTATATCACACCTAAATTTTTAATTCTTATCATTTGAGAAATGCACATAATCCATAGTTTTCATTAATAAATCAAACTCTTTAGTTGTGTTAATAAATGTATTATGTCTCGACAACTTTCTGTGCTGACGGCTAACAAAATGTGCGCAGTGAATTGTGGTTAGCAAACACCCAATCATAAATGCAACCTGCTCACTGCAGTTGCGGTTCACCTCCCGACATTTACACGTTACCGCATGGTTAGCACCGTCGCCTCACAGCAAGAGGGGTTTGAAGAGTTCGAAAAACCTGCTGCCCGCCCGCCCGCCCGCCCGGGGGCCTCTCTGTGTTCTCCTCATGCCCGCGTGGCTCCAGATACTCCGGCTCCCTCCCCACAGTCCAAACACATGTAGGTTAATTGGCGAATCTAAATGTCCCGTATCTGTCCAGGGTGTACCCACGCAGCCCTCGCCCGGCCTCGCCGTGACCCCTAAAAGGGATATGCAGTATGGTGAATGAATGAATGTTGGAGACCAGGAAGAATCACGTAGAGTATCTCCAGAATATCTGAGTTTAAATTTTAGATAATTTCCTCCTCTTACCCAGCGGGACTTTGAATGTGTGAAGGGGAAAATGAGCAGAGGAGCAGGATAGCAGAAGTCAGGTGGATGTCAGAATATCAAACTTTTAAACCGCATGTTTGATTGACTGCTGCTTCTCTTTGGCACAATCCCCTCTAGGAAGTGTTGTGGAGGAGTCAGGTTGTGCTCTGTTTTTAAGCTGTCAGGGTTACAGCAGTTGTCTGGTAACCTGCTGGTAGACTGGCTCCGGAGATTTGAGTTCAGATTTACTAATGCAGTTGGTTGTTCTGTGTAAAATTCACAAATTAATTGCCTGCGGGAGAAATGTTCAGTTTGTACTCTGGGTTCCATTGAGTTAAGTTATCAGGAGAAACTTCAGCAACCTACGAAAACTGAAACAAAATGTTTGTTCGGTTCAACATTAATCTGTGGTCATGTTTCTCATGTTGTTTGGACTCATGATCGTTGGGAATGCCTTGAAGATGTCACTGACTGATCAGTTAACACGAAGAAAAATATTCTCACTTACTGACTAAGATTAACTCAGTAAGTTTTTCTCTAATGAGAAGAGTATGGAGACCATTGTTAAGAACCAGATCTCACCAGATTCATATGAATTTGAATCATTTACTTAAACCCCCGAGTCCAAACTTCTGTGATTTATTATCCACGCTCCCCTGTAGCGTGACTTCTCGATGCAATGGATCTCCAGTCTTTACTTCAAAAGAACAAAAAAGGACAACGATTGAGTGAAAATAAAGAAGTTTATTAACTCAACTACTATCTACAGGGTAAATGCATGGTGTAATAATCATAAAGATGAAAATGATAATGAAATGAGCAGTGTGAGTTGGCAATGGTGGGAGAGGATATGTTATGACTATACACTGTGGCTATACAGCTAATGGTACTACGTCTATCAATGAGATTCGATGATTAAATATTGCTATATTTCGACGTCAACCCAGTCATGAGCACAGTGTTAAGACCGGCCTGAACCCTTGGCTGGAACCCAGGTGGCTGTGGTTGCCGTGGTAACCCTGGAGACGCGGGATCTAGGTGGATTCTCCTGGAGGCCGTGTCCCGTTATCACGATGACGGATTCTGCCGGTGTCTCAGCGGTTCAGCTCTGGTGGAGTTTGCCAGGAGACTTTCTGTCTCGGGCACTCTTGATTTGTGCTTGGCTTCTCTGCAGGCGGTCGTGCAGATGTTGTCTGCTGGCGTCTCTTGCGGGTTGATGCGAAATAAACTCTAATGCTCTTCACTTTGGCTAACTTTAACTTTAGAGGACTATGGCGTTGACCAGATGACTCTAAACTGTCAAAAATCTTCAAAAATTAAAACGTGATAATAGTTAAAAGGTACAAAAATTACTCTGAGGCACTTCTGTTGTTTTGGTTCAGTTGGTCTTGACTTGGCTTATAAAAATATGAGATTGCGCGTGTAGACAAAGAAAATGTTACCTCGAGCACGCGGCAAAGAAAGAGCTGTTGACTTAGAGCCGGTGGCTAAGAGCTGGGAGCTAAGAGAGCTATGTGTGAAATGATCACAACTGTTTTATCACCCATCTTCTCCTGTCTTTTAACATAATACAAGTGGTTAACTGATCAAACAACAGTATAAACATTTCCCAAAGCTAATAGTCTATAAATGTGGATTACACAGCAGTTCTTTGACTGTAATAATAATAATAATATGGACATGCTGGATGTCATGTAGTGTGTGTTACCTCGTGTGAAGGATGCTGACAGTATGGTCACATGAAGGACACTGTCTTAAAATCTACATGTTACATTTCAAACATTCTATGGGATAGAAGTTTGGGATTAAACTATTGCATAGGAACATCTCATGAGTTACAGAACAGCTAGATATTTAATTTTACATTCTTCCTCAGATCTGTGTCTGTGAAGAGAGTTCTGCCGGTCACTACCCAGGACTGGGATGTGGGTCATAGTTTATGACTCTTATCTAGAGAGGGACAGAGGAAGGGAGGCTGGTGTGTGTGTGTGTGTGTGTGTGTGTGTGTGTGTGTGTGTATTCATTCATTCATTCATTCATTCATTCATTCATGACAGAGAGGCCAGAATTCACACTTTAGCGATGATCAGTCCTCTTGGTGTTACTTGTCCTACATAAGAAACAAACAAATATCAATAGACAGAGTTGTATTGTTACTATCAATTTGATAGTTTGATGGTGGGAAGAGTAACAAAGTGTCAGTTTTGGGTGTGTAACTCTGCATGTCCTTACAATGAACTTCTTGAATGGCTTGTGACTGATGCCAGGCCAGGTGTGTACACTACACCACTCTAAGATTTGCTTCATGCTGCCTTTGAGAGATGTGACTCACTTGTTTTTTTGGGCAGCTGTAGCTCATGTGGTGAAGCCTGTTTATCATTAATTGTAGAGCTACTGGTTTGAACCGTCCACGTGTGGTTTGTTTGAGCAAAGACATCGAGACCAAGGTTGCACCAAGCCTAGATAGGCGTAAGGAAAAACATGTATCTTACTCTGTCCAATAAATGCAATGTAATACCGGTTTCCTCTTCCTGTATGTTTATTGAAAAGCATTCTGGGAACTGTAGCAAAGCTCTTCCTGGAAGAAACATAGATTAGGCAGAGCAGGCACAACAAAATCTAAATTACAAGTTAACAGCAAAAAAAAAAAAAAAATAACAGATTGGTTCA